AATCAAACCCAAACCTCTTGGATTTGATATCATCTAGTCTTCACCAGGTGGACACCAGCGGTTTAAGCCTCCGCCCGCTCGCACCGCTCGCACCGACGGCGCACCACATCGATGACGGCTGCCAAGCCCAGCAGGGCACCCGCGGCCGTGAGCCCCACGGAGAGCTCCGTGGACACCTTAGTGGATCGGCTCCCGACTTCTTCAGACTCCAGGGCTACGGGCAAATACCCTATAATGATATATATAGGCTGCGGGGTATGGTATACCCTATGCAAATGTACACATTGAGCCCCGAAAGCACTACTACGACGTTCTTCGTAGGAAAATATGGGCTGTGGCTGCGATCCAAGATCGGATTCTGACTAGAGCGACTGGTCGAGAAAAGTATCCAAGTGCACGGCATCTTGTGGACCAGGACTCCTAGACCCAGTGAAAGAATCACACGGGAAGCACCTGAGTTATGTTAGTTATGGCATTATTTCACAAAGGCAAGAGGCAGCAATGAGCAGGAAAATGATCAAGAGGGGCGTGCAGCAAAGCAGCACTTGACCTGAGGACGCTGCAATCAAAGTACAACGGCTTCCAAACCCTTAATGAATCAAAATGTAAGTGTAGTCCATGAACTTCTGCCATTAAGCAAACATATGTGCAATTGAGCTTGGTTGCGTAAACAACTAACTTGCAGGCTCATGACTGTCCTGAGTTTTATCAAGAATCCAACGTTTTGAGTTTCGACATGTCTCTCCATCAACATGTCTTGCCGAGTGGCAAACTTCGTCACAGATGGCGTCGCGCACGGGCTGCAAGCCCATCTCATGCACATAAAAGAAGTTGCAAAGCTCACACTGGATCTCCCCAACGTTTGCTGCCGTCAAGGCGCACTGCCTGTTTTGCCGAACTCGGAGTTCAAGGGAGCCATTTGGGGACAGGCCCATAGGACCAATGGGTGAAGGCGTCTGTGTCCACACCACGTGATGATCCCTTTTATGGCCTGCTTGTTGGGAAGACAAATGCAACATCTGCAAACAGGACAGTAACGAACCTTTCGAAGGACACGAGCCTGTCGAAAAATGTCGAAAGAGTCGACGGCGCGGACATGGAACCAACATGCCGCCATGCTGTTGCAGCCAAGGCTGACCAATGAAGCATGACACGATTTTGCGATCATCATATTGAGATCATCAAGGGATCATTGCGATCCAAAATGAAGCATGTGCTTGCGGAACTTGCCATAGCCCCTGTCACTGTAGGTTCTGCTCCCTGGTGCCCTCGATCACCCTAGAACATCGTTGAACATCCCTAACATACTCCGAGCCGCCGTTGCCACTGCTTCAAACAGCCGCGGTGGATCCATCGCACGGATCCGCTGCACAAGCATGGCTCCAGGAGAAGCGACTCGAGCGACGGCGCCTCACCACCTCAGTCGACGTGACGGAACGCGTTCCGTCACGGCGACGGAGACCGTGTGACCGTGAGCTGCTCGTCTTGTTTCGGGTGAGATGAGGTATTGGACTCACCCCACAAGAAAATGAATATGCAAAGACAAAGACATGACATGACATGAATGTAAAGATACGTCAAGTAAAGGCTGGGTCATATGATGTGTGCATGTTGGGGGATCAGCTTGAAAACCTAGAGAGGACATCAGTGAAATCAGGGCCAATTGCGCATCAATTGCATTGAGACCGGATTTTTTTAAATACCCTTTGAACACAACTGGACTTGCCGAGAGCAACCAGTAAGAACGACCATGTCCCCTCTTTCACAGGAAAATGTTCTCTTCTTGGGGGTCGTCCTGGAATGCCCTCAACCAGTGCAGTTGAAAATCCGTGGCAAATACGGCAGCACTTCTCCATGGCAAAATCGCCGAGAAGACTCCGAGCACAAGGCAACTGAATTAGTTTCCATCTGTCTAACCTGATCAGGAAGATATGTGACGCACCCCTAGCGCCTTAAAGTGACAGTGCCAGTTTGCCATATTGGCCTGCATGGCCATATATAAGTGTTGAGTCGGGGCAACCTGCCAGTCTCCGCAGGTTGCCTGCTATAGATCCTGCACGTTTGTTGTGTTGTGTGTTGTTCCCCAACGCTCATCTTCTTTCGGTTGGAACCATTTGTGTCTCGGAACCGGGATTGCTGATGCTGATGCCAACTGCCAACGCAGAAATTCAGTTAGAACAAGCTTGACGTCAGCTAAGCCCTGACTGAAACCATCAGTTGATGTTCCCTTATGTTCCCTTGTGGCTGTGTTCAAAGCATACTAACTGCTTGCCTTCACAAAGACCTTGAGCCAGTAGTGCGGCCTGAGGCCATCTAGCTTGCAGCTTTGCTCTCGCATTGTCTCCTCAATCAGCAAAGCCTGCAATTTCATTATATATATATATAACTATATATTATATATAGATGAATGTGTGTGTCTTGGTTCAACAAGAATTCAGCAATAGAAAAACACTGGGATCAACCCAACAGTTTTCCTGTCATTTCATTTCTGATCAAGGCATTGGTCCTTTTGCACTCCATTTTGGCCACGCTGCCGGTCACCTGGCCGACCAACTTGTGCATGCTGGAGGTGACCCTGACTGAGTGTGAATATCAGCGTCGTTCTAGGATGTTCTAGGTATACACAGTGCATCACAGAACTGCCCCTAACCAGTCGTCGTCGTCGCTGAAATCAGAACTTTTAGCTGGTACAGTGCATATATATCCGGTCTTTCTCTGGATCTCGGCCTTGACTTCAATTTCTGGCTGAGCTTTTGAGCAAAGTCCTCCGTGCCGTTGAAGCTGGAGAGATTGTGTCCTCACCGCATCTCACCGCGGTGGAGCGGTCGCCGTCGGCCACTCAAAGGGTCCATGTCTCCAGTAAAACCTGGTTCAGGATCTGAGCTCGTTGAGAAAGGTGTTGATTTGTTATTTTGTTGATTAGTATAGTGGGTGTTGATCCAGTAAAACCTAGTCCGTCCTTGAGTATAGTGTTGATTGGTATAGTCTGATGGGTATGATATACTCCGAGGTCCGTTCCTGACCTGGGATTGACTTGACCGACCTTCGAGAAGTGGGGAGAAGTGGCGGCCACCGAACACCACTGGCGCACGTTCCATACGCCCAATGCAAGATGTACACTCTGATTCACTAACATATGGAAGTGGAAAATAGGATCCGAAGACGACTGACTAGACTGACTAGACTGTCCTCTACAAACAGGTGGTGTTCCACTTCCATGTTAGTGAGTTCAAGTGTAAAACAATTACCCCCTGGAAGCCCTGAAAACCGGTGCCGTCGGATCCACCGTCGGATCAACCGTCGACCACTGGTGGATCCATACCGCCCCGGGGACGTAGCGGCTCGTTTTCGGGAGTATCAGATTGGACGCTGTAGCACTACAACTGAAGTGCCTCAATGCGCAGGAACATATGCCATAAGAGGCCGAAAAAATGACAATGATGTCGGTGAGAAATCAGGGTCCTCCAACTTCCAAATTGGACATAGCAGCTCTCATGTTGGTTTGAGGGAGCACATGTTGTTTCGCTGTCTGCCGTCCAGGAATTCTTGTTACGACTGTGTTTTTTCCGGGCAACAGCGCACTTCATATTCCGACTACTTGTGTTTGATTCGAGATTTTGTGGTAGATTTCTCAACTTGCATTTTCGTGCAAAGGTCCGCTTCAACTTTCGGTGGAATGGATGGTCAAAGGCGGTAGCGTCCCAAATCCCAAAACCCTTGCTTATCTGGTTTGTATGTGGTGTGGTCAGCCAGGGTTGCCTTTTTGATCCACACCACAAATTCTACTTGGGGAGTTGTGGAGGTGAAAAAAAGCGGACGCCTTCGCTTTTAAGCCTGGGTCCTGTACATCTGGCCATCAGCTCCAAAGATGCCTTCGCTTCAGCAGAAGCCTTCTGCTTGCAGGGAGGTCGTAGGACCTGTTGAGTCGCCAACAGTAGTGAGCGAGCGATCTCTGCCTGTCGGTCAGTGAGAAACCCGACGGCTTCCAGTGGAGGAGCGGCGGGTCTCACAGGACCAACTGTTCAATGTATTCCTTTCTACTTCCTCATGACTTCAACAGGTGCCAAGGCGCAAGAAAAAGAGCAATCCGGACCTTTAGGTATCACCCTATCTCAGGCTTTTCGGAAGAATTATATATATGTAAATATCATGGTAGTAGTGAAGTGTTCTTTTGCATTACCAAACCCTCTCGTTGATTCAGACGCCTCAGAGATGTCAGCCTTGTACTTCTCCCCAGGCCGGTCATCGCAAAGGAGTTCTTCCATGATGTCCTCGGCAAGGCTACTTACTATATTTGCCAGAAGGCAACTCTTTACACACACGCACCCATATATATATATATATACCACTAATATCAACTGATTATGTATACACCTATTGTATACAGCAACAAGCAACTAACAAAAACACTGACCTCTTTTGACAACAGCTAGTACACAACACGGGTGGCGTTCATGTTCTCTTCTACCCCGTTCTAAGCCCCTGTTCATCATCTCTTCTTGCCCGGTCTCCCACCGCTGCACCGCCGTGGCGTGCCACAGTGGGCCACGGCCCGCGCGGTCGGCCCCGCCGGTGACGGCCGCGAGGCGCTGGAAGGTAGGCAGGTCTTCAGCAGTTGAAAGGGCAGGTCTGCAGCAGTCGCTCGGACGGGCAGTTTTAGAGGTTGCGGTTGGGGGATGGCTTGGGGAATTCTTCCACCTAAAGCAAACAAGGAAAGGATTCAAAGGATAGGGAAAGGTGAAAGTCTGATGTAAATGGCCAGTTGAGGGAGTGGTCCAACCGATCTACAAGACCTGGCAAAATGATGAAAAGGCAACCGAAACCAGGCTCAGATACACCGCACTTGTCTCAAATTGATAGAACATATAGCATTCATGATCGTTCCTACATGTTCCTACGAATCTGGAGGGGCAGGGCTTGGACATGTATGTCGGTGCAGAATCACTTACAGTAGGTTGACAAGGGGACCCTGCTAGAAGAGCGGAAGAAGATTTTTGGGGTCAGGCACGTCGTTCTGTGAGGGGATATACCTCAGAAATCCTCAGAATGAATCGCTCATATTCCCTCATAATGGTTCCTCCGTGCCTGCCCATGTGGTCCACCTCCTGCACCATCTCTAGAGCGTTGCTTTGCATCTGTGCGAGCACCCAGCTCACAGCCTCACTGGCATTCACTCGCCGCTGCAGCGCGCCGGTGTTGTTGCCCTGCAGGCAGCCCAGTCAGTCATGAGAATCGGCCTAGAAAAAACAAACCAAAAACACCTAAGAGCTTCCGGAAGGCTTCGGTGTCACCATGGACTCACGGCCCGGGGCCCGATGAGTCGGGTCCCCCTCCGTCCTCACGGCTCTGAGGCTTCCCTAAGGCCGCGTGGTGCAGCACCGTCCGCCCCAGGGCGTCGCGACAAAAGAGGCCCCCAGCGCCCTGACTGCGCAACGCGGCGCGTGCCAGTTGCAGGTCCTTGGGGATGAAGACAACCAAAAGTGACGTGGGAGGGTTTCGTTTGAAGCGAGCCAACGGTCCAGAACTGTGGAGTAAAGCAGTACAACCTATATATACAGTTATATAATATATAATACATGTCTCCTGGTTGGTGGTTTCAACATGTTTCAACTCACTTGAACAAATGTGAGTCAGGGAACTCAATCATCGCCAAAGGTTCAACATGAACACACACATATATGTATACAATTGTATACATACATATCTGAAACCACCACCCATCACCAGTCTTGTGTTGACCGTCAAACCCACCCGTCCTTGCGCCCCAGCGCGGCATGGAGCAAGGTCCGCTGATCAGAGAAACGCAAACAGCCCAGGTCTCGTAGCACTTGAGGTGGCACATCAGGACTTTCCTCATGCCCCGTCAACAACCTGCAGCTTGGGACTCGACTTCAGTTCTGGTGAACAACATGGAGAGAAGCATTCCCCACTCAGCACCAGTCAGTGTACAAAAGCAGGGACCCAAGCCTCCATGTTTGCCACAACATGTTTTGGGAGCGAGAATGAAAAGCCAAACGTGCCCCATGCGGGGACAAAGCAACTGCCAGAAGGTCCAAAGGCCAAGTGTGTGCCATCGTGTCGTCTGTAGAATCTGCAGATGTCTTAACATCCCTGCGACCCTCCTCGAGTATTTCACCCAGAGTCACCGAAGAGCTTGAACCGTCTGCAAGCACCTTTTGAAAGACTGCAGCTGATCGATTGAATCTTCACCGAAACTCCAGACCCCAACTACCTCCAGATATGTGAATAAATATACAGCGGCGCTTGCTTTCCAAAGCCACTGCTTCCTCAACTCAGAGGTGGCCAAGGCAAGCAATGCATCTGATGCAGTGCATGGACGCACAACGCCTAAGCTACAACATTGGCATGCGGAATATGGCACTGTGGGTGTGGCTTTGCAAAAAAAGCGAGAGCCGCTGGCACTTGTTTTCCGGAAGTAGATCTCCAATTGCAGTAATCGGTCGTTGTTTCCAAATCCTTTTTCACTTACCGCACGGCCTTGCGTGAACTTGCCAGATTCCAACACGAGATCGGGCGCAGGGTCCGCTTTGCTTTCTGTTGGGTCCGCCCAAGGGCCCAAACCCCAACAGAAACGGTCCAAGCCACCTGTGCTGCGAACACATATGCCACAAGCATAAGGCATGTGATGATACACAAGCCTGGAAAAAATGGATCTTGACAAGACCTGATACTGAGATAAGGGCGTATTGTAAAGCACACTCCTCCTATAGGGATTGCTTGGTTCTCTTGCTTGAGCTTTCTGCAGCCCAGTCACAGTCATGGGGTGAGTGAACCGCCAGCAAGAACATGCCCTAGGAAAGAGCGCTGCCGAGAAAGACACTTCAGAAATCCGGACGATGCTAAGCGATTCTCTTAAGATGGGTCATCGTCCAAGGAATGGGTTGATCGAGCGGATGGTTCTTCCCACAGATCAGCAAGTTCTTCATCTCGTCTCTGTCTTCTGTTTTCTCTGTTTCTGATATGTCTGATATATATAGATGCTTTGGATTTGGGGTGCCCAAATCATGGGCCAAAGTACTGTCCAAGTAACAAGACCTAGTTTAATTCCAGAAGCCCTATGCCCTCGCACAATCATCAACCCCTTGCCTCTTTTGGAAGCAAATACAGGTCCAACATTTGCATAGAATGAATAACCCGAATCCAAAGAGAGTGATGACTCACATTGCTGCTTCAAGACGTCAGGTCTTTCCACGCCGGGCGTCCCCATTCCTCTCCGGGCATCCGACCCCAAAAAAGGGACGAGTCATGGTCCTTGTGAGCTCTTGTGGTCCTTGTTTCGCCGGGGGCCGGGGCTCGGGCGAGAAGATTCAGAGCTCCCACTTCATGACCGCTGTCATGCTTCCTGGGCCGGCAGCGGCACCAGTCTGGCCTGAGAGTGGCTTGCAAAGGCTCTAAAGGATTCCCCGGCAAGCTGAAACCCATGTGGTTCAGGGATTCCCCGTGCCTTACGTGCAATTGCCGGTTAAAGTTAAAGCTTAAGGCACGTTTCCATGCTCAAACTTTCTTGCACACGGATGTGCCCTCCAACTACTGAGCATGAACAAATGTCAAACATGGTGAAAGGATCTCATTTTTTGGGTCTTGTCCTCTTGCCAAACATCCCACCAGGACCTCCCAGATCCGAGCCACTGCGCGCCCAGCGCGGCGGCCGGTGCCCCAAAGGCCCGGGCCAGGCGCCGTGCGGCGCCCGGCGCGACGGGCCAGGCGTTCGCCACGGCTGTGGCGAATCGGGTCTCGGAGAGCACGGCGCCGGTGAGGCGCAAGGCGCCTCGAAAGGTGGAAGACTGAAGTCATGAGAAAAAGAGAGTCTGAGATGATCCATCCTGTTCATAACTTTGGCCTTTGAGAAGATCTAAGAAGGACGCCGGTGGAACGGATACGCAGGAAATGTGTCGACATGCACAAGCTAATCAATCGTGGGTACTGCGGTTTGTGGGGTGGTGAGGTTCGCGGTTCCTTTTCACTGAAGTAAACATGCCGGGCGTGAAATGCAGAACCTTTCTGAGAATTCTGAGGGTGTTTTCCTGCAACGGGGAAAAAAGAACCGCCTTGCCTAGATGTACCAGCTCTTCTTTGGCCGCCTCCTGCAAGCGATTCGCCTCTGTCAAGGTGAGAGGCCAGGTGGGCACCAGCGGTTTCGGAGGCCGCGGCACCCGGATGTAGATGTGGCATGGCACATCCGGTGACCAGCTGATGTTGAGATGCAAGCGCCGAAGAAGCACTAGGCCCCCCCGCGGGGACTGCTTGGGGCTTCCCATCGGCATCCTGAGACTGGCTTCAGCAGGGCTGAGGGCATGCTTGATTCCTCTACAAACTAACGAGGGGTGGGGTCAGGTTCGTGAATGCACTGAATCAATCTGAATCAGTTGTACACAGAAAGGCTATACACAGGACACTGGCCGGAATTGGCAAGATCGTCCTCCGTGTGGTTCTTCACACGCGTCACGCCACCCATCGGCTGAAACTTTTCGTGTCAGGTGTGTCAGTGGTGCAATCAGGTATGAAATTAGCCAAGCCCAGGAAATCAGCCGGACTCTGCAGCAATCTGCAGGAGGCGCAGCTATTGGACCCCAGCCCGGACCCAAGTCGTCCAAGCGTCAGGCTCTTGAACTTTGGCGCCTTGTAATGGCAAAGGATCCAAGCTCCTCAGTGGTGCACCTCCTACCTCCGTGGCCCGGCTGGCAAACGCCGACCGAGCGTTGTAGAGCGGCGCCGCCGGTCAAATACATGTCCATTTGGAGCACACGTCTGAACGGAACCGGAGTCCACCGGTGGGTGAGTCATGTCCGGCTCATGCATCGATCTCCTTTTGCGCTTTTGCTACTCGTTTTGTCACAAAACACTTGGGAGAGTGCCCAAGAAAGGCCAGGGATGAAGACTGAGCCCGGAGTGTCCACGCTAGGCTGCTAGGAATGAACAAACCAAACACAGGAACCGCGAGGTGGTGTGGTATCTGCGGAAACCCAACATCCAAGGGGTGAACAAATGGATAGGACAGGCCCGTCCATGGATCTTCTGCATCTTCAAAGGGATTGTCGACATGCCAAGTCTCCAAACAACAGAACCAGGTGTAAGCTCTGCCTCCAGTTTGTTGGTGACGGTCGCCTCAGAAAGGGCCCTGGCTGGTGCAACAAATTGGCGTCGGCTCACCAACTGGGAACTCGAGACAGGAGTGTCGAAAGCAACACGTTGAACGCATCAAGGCGCATCAAGTCGCAACAAAGTCTGCAAACTATATAAACTTGAGATGGCTCCTCGGGAGTCCAACTTCGTGGTGATTGAGTTTGGGGACACGCACTGCCTCCATGCGATGAAACATCGACATCATGCTTTTACCCTTCACTGCACCCACATCGTCGTGCGACAGACCAAACATGTCATGCTCATTTAGATTCTCAAGATGCTTATTAATGATTAAACTATATAAGTCCTCTATGATTGCAACCTTAATATCCTTGCTTGTGTTCTTATTCATTTGCCCAGCAACGACCTCACGCTCATCGATCCTCTCGAGGATGGCCAAGGTCACCTCCGACAAATTGGCGGTACTCCAGGCGCCCTGCTGCAGCTGCACCTTGCGGTGGACATTTACTAGACCAAATCAACTCACAACAGCTGGTCAGGCTGGTATTGGAAGGCACACCCGGTCCACTTCACTGGGCTGGGAGTGGCCCGTGGCCCCAGTCAGCCGGTGCTGCATCGAAGCCGGGTCCGACGCATGAGGGACGCGGCGCCCTTCCGAGCAAGTCGTGTGCGCTCTTCATGGGAAGCCGATCCTGAACTCCGTTCGCCCAAACCACAACGAAACAGTTGGTCTGTGGCCAAGCCCCGAATCAAACCATCACTTGGTCACAAACACAACAAACACACTGGCTCTGCACGGCAGTGGAGCACCGGCCGATGTGAAGGGAGGATGCCCGATGACCTCGAACCCCTTCACATCGCTCCAAAACCAAATAACCTGTTGAACATACCTCATCCCCGGAATTTTGACATCTCCATGATGGTCCATGACCCAAGTGACTGGTACATGGACTCATCTGGACGCATCGGGGGGGGGGGGTGTTGCTTGGTACGGAACAAGAGTTGCGGCCCACACACACCCAACATAGTATCAAAGGGCCCACAAACCCACCCATGTGAGCTCCTCGAGGTTGACACAGGAGCAAGGCGATCAACTGCATTCCCCGTACAACATGCGCCTCCAGGTTGTGCCAGCGCAGGAAGGAAGAGTCAGTCCTGCACGAAGAATAGTTTGGTGCCCCAGAACATCGTGGGCGCCGTCTCACAGCATGTCCCAGGATTGGGATCAACAGCAACACTGGCCCCTTACCCTTGAAACAACACCGATGTGATCAATCCCGTGTGATGCACATAGGTGTGCCCACTAGCCTGTTCATTTCTCTTTGCCGCAATGCCTCATTTTGTCGGATCGGGTCATGTCTATCCGAGTCCTGTTGTAGCAAGACCTGGTGCAATTGGCAGCCATATAGCTGGGGCTTTTGGCACATTCGCCTGGTCTCCGAGAGATTTCGCCGGCCAAGATTTGCTGTTTGGCGAGCGACAGGAACGTCATGTTCTGCCCGGAACGACGTATGCTGTATAATATTGACACCTGCCTATAATTGCAAGAACGTGCATGCCAAGCGAACTGTCTGATGGCTGCGCTCTGCAAGTCTAGTGTTGGTCTTTAATGGTTATATATAAGTTATATAGTTTGCTCGAGATGGAATGGATCAATGATTGTGATATATTGTGAATTATTGTGATATGAATTAAGCTGGCTTTCTGCCCATGCCCCATCCCATTCGAAAGTAACTCGGAGTCTCGTCTGTTCCTTCGGCATCTTGTGTGACACGGATCCCGCCTTTGGCAGCCCGATCAGCGCAGCCTTGCTCGAGATCGACCTTGAGTCACGGACGGGAAGGAGCGACCAGTATGCCACAGTGAATACTGCACAGCAATGTACAGCACATGGTCATCCATAATCATCCATAGAATTTTCCCCATTGGGAGGCTTGCGCTACAGATCGTTGGATCTAAAGCCATATGGATCTAGAGAGTGGGTTAGTGTATGATACAAACCACCAACAATGAAGTCTTACTGTATGTAGCCTGCACATCGGTTTTGCAGTGTATCTCATTTCGATGACAACAGAGTTAGCTGTTAGCATAGTACCCTCGGGCCCAGCTCAACTTCCCGGGATCTTCAGCTATACTAGTAACAAGTGCCTTACTAGTGGTAACAAGAAGCTACTAGTAACAAGTGCATCGCTACTAGTAACAAGGGCCTTACTACTAGGAGCAAGAAGCAACTAGTAACAAGAATATTATAATTCTATAATAGCTTCTATTTCTTGTTTCTAATAGCTTCTAATAGCTTCTTGTTCCTACAGGTTCAAACGAACGCAGAACCCTCATCGTTCCGGCGCACCACGTAGCGTGCACCGAAGACCCGGTTAGCATGCTGTCATGCGGCCAAGTCATCGCCAAAGTTGTTGAGGTGGTCCCTAGGTCATTGAAACTCATGACCCGCGGAGGCAGAATTTTGCCAAGGAACATAGACTGTATTGCTTTGGGGCGTCCCCACGTCTGACTTTGTGCAACTATCAAAACACAATAGGGGACTCCCCCTTCTTAAACCCGTTTGTGCAAGGATCAAACATTCATTCAATGAATCTTGCGAACTCCCTCAGCCAAATCATAAATAACATGTTGCGAAGTGCCCCGCACCAGTGATCCAAGCTAGTGATTATTAAAGCGCCCCAGATGAGGAGGTTTTACAATCCAAGTGAGGGCGCCGTTTTCAATTAATAGTCCACAAGAAAAAAACTTCTGGTGCAACAGCTCAGCTCACGTGGTGGTTTATCCAGGGACCCATGTGCCCGAACATCACCTTTACAAGTGTTGCGGTGTGTGTCCAAGTTCCGGGTCACAGTGTAGCTCTCCTAAAATGACACAGTCTTTCCAAATAGATTGTCAACGGCAGATCCCAGAAGACTCAGATCATGCAAAATAACTCCAGACTCAAAGAAAAGATCTTATAGTATACAGTATACAAAACAAATAAGAAACACATTTCAATCTACAGTATAGATAATTATAGTATGCAGTATACAAAACAAATAAGAAACACATTTCAATCTACAGTATAGATAATTAATGATAATTACAAGCAGTTGTGTTTTTTGTTTGTGTTTTTCTGTTTTTCTCTGCAATTTTGCTTGAGTGTCAGTCAACTTGATTTTGTTTTGTTTTAGTTTTTTGGTAAGCTTTTTGGTCGTTCTTGTTTTTTGTTGCTTGCTTTGTTTTTTACATATCAATGATTGTGTACATGCCTGACGCGGATGGACCTGAAAGTCGGCGCGGATGGTCCCCATGAAACGAGTGTGCACCAAAAAAGAAGGTAGTTTGGTTCCCCAATCCCGCACTCCATTCCAAAGAGTGTAAGCCACGAGTTTGCTTCGAGTCGTGCGTTTTAGGCCGTGCCTGAGCCGTCGAAGAGCCAACATCCCTCGAGCGCAGGGCTCTGGATCCTTCTCCCAGGCGATGATGCGTGGTGCAAGGCCCAGCAAGGCAGTGAACAACGGAAGGCGCCCTGCGCCGCTGCCTGACAGGTGGCGCCTTTTGAGCAGTTGAGACATGTCCACCTCATTCACCAAACAGCTTAGACCGCGTTCCGAAGTACAGTTGAGAGCAGAAATCAAACGATGTCATCCAAGCACTTGGCAACAGTTTGGGCAACAGCTCCAATTTATCGTGTGGACGTTGCTGCAAACTGACAGCTGCTACAGGAAGATGAAATAATGACAAATTCGCTACCCTGCAGGGAAGCCTCACTAAGCCACCTTGGATGCAACGCATCACGAGCCCAAGATGTCACAAACATCTACTGTTTTTTTGGATGCGCAAAAAATCCGCAAGTGTGAACCTTCCCCAGGTAGTTCTCAAAGGTTCCAAACTTAAACAACATGTATTTTGACCATGTTCCTTCCATGCCGACCTCGTGGTTGGCAAGGTCCGCTGCCTGGAATTGAGCGAACTCCACCCAGCCCAGCACCGCTCAGCCCAGCCTAGGATGCCAACCTGGTCCCCTTTGGCCAGTGGCACCTCCGCGAGGGCTGCACCTGCAATTCACTAACGATGCCACTGCTTGGGGTGAAGATGGGTGAAGTGTGGTGATCAAACATCTAAAATCGTCGAAGCATCAGGCCATCCATGGCCATCCAGTTGACCATTTCAGCAACACTCTGGAGCACCTGTT